TGATAATGAGACATATTATCTATCTATCTATCTATCTATCTATCTATCTATCTATCTATCTATCTATCTATCTATCTATTAAGCAGCTATATAGAATATATACCACAATCTTTGATTTGAGAACCCTGTTGATGAAGACTTCAGTTTTCTTAAGTTACAGTGTGAAATCATAATAATAAAAAATACAGTACCAGAATTATCCCTGCTCCAAATCCACTGAAGGGAACTAAAAATTGATGGTTACCAACGGAAAGAGAACCAGGACAAATGCTGAATTGGAAACAGACAAACACAACGTTCTCGACTGGATTTTAAAACCTCGAGGTGGATTTTTATTTGGCACACAAAAATAAAAAGTCAATATTGAAACAGGTATTTGGAAACAAAACATCCAGTCCAAATTTCATCGAGTTATCCCATAACTTAAAAGTAAGAGTTACATCATTTAAAAACAAAGCAACACAATGGAGCACAGACAAATGGCAAAACGCTCTAACTTTGAAGTTTGGCCTGCTGAAGACCAACAAGAAGGCAGAAAAGTTTCTTGGAATAAAAAACTGTTTTAGAGAAGAAACCGTAAAAGAAACAGCTATCTAACGATGGCCATAAAGTAAGACATGGCTATTTAAAATAGGCAGCTCTGAATGCCGAGTCATTTCTAATTTTGTTCAACGGATGTTTCACCCAATATTAAAAGAGAGAAGGAAGGGGAAAAACAAAAATTAAAGTAGTGATAGGAAAAAAAAGGAAAGTTTAGAAATGGAAGAGTATATTCCCACCCCAATTCCATAAAAACTGGTGTAGGCTCACAAACTTCCTGAAGAAGTACCCACCTCTCACACCTTCACATTATTCATGGAACACAACTCTCTCTGATCGTCTCTGCAGAATACACCGCAAAGTCAGAAGACACCCACACCCACTTATATTTACAAGATTAGCCATCCCTCCCTCATCTCAGACAAGCATCAACCTCTGATTTTTGGATTCCTCTGTGAAAAACATTTAAAGGTAAAGGTTCCCCTCGCACATGTGTGCTAGTCGTTCCCGACTCTAGGGGGTGGTGCTCATCTCCGTTTCAAAGCGGAAGAGCCAGCGTTGTCCGAAGACATCTCCAAAGGTGGTCCCTGTTTTTCTACTTGCATTTTTTTATGTGCTTTCGAACTGCTAGGTTGGCAGAAGCTGGGACAAGTAACGGGAGCTCACTCCATTACGCGGCGCTTGGGATTCGAACTGTCACCTTTTCTGATCCACAAGCTCACCGTCTCAGCCCCTGAACCACCACACCCCTTACTAAGAAAAATATTTAGCAATAAATCTAAGAACTAACTTTTACAAAGCTGGAATAATAGCCCAGGTGCTTCCGCTGAAGAAAGAAAGAAAGCCAAGCAGGCAAGCACTCAATGAAGGCTAGTACAATTGGAAGTCCATACAAGAGAAGGATTCTCAAAGCAAAAGGAAGAGTCTCGGGTGTGAATTTTCCATTTTTTTTTTTGTTCTTGCTGTTTTGTTTCCCCAAATAGTCCCTCCCCTCCCTAAAGTCACAAAAGCAGGAGGAAAGTCTTAATCCGAGGACCAGCCATCCCCTCGCTTCTTCCCCCTCCGCCAACTCTTCCCTCGGCCCCGCGACGGGCGGATGGCGCTCTTACAACAACCAAAATCCCTTAAGGCGGACGGAGTAGTTCTCAGACGTAGTTCTTCTTGTCGTACTCTCCTCCTGCCCCGTTGGAGACCGGGGCGGCGGAGCGCCGGGGAGCCGAATACTTGGCGGGGAAGGTGCCGCTGTCGTCCTTCCAAGCCGAGGCTCCGCAGATGAGCGAGCCGCCCAGCAGGAGCAGCGTGGCGGCCGCCCAGCCCAGGTACAGCGCGGCGCCCATCTCCCGTTTCCTGGAGGGCTCCACGTTGGGGTCGTAGAAGTTGCTGATGATGGTGTTGGCGAACCAGGAGGGGGGCACCAGCACTAGCAAACCGCAGATGAGGAAGAGGGCGCCCCCGATGCCCGCGATCCAGTCCTTGATCTTGGCCCCGCGCAGGCAGGTGGTGCACTGGGCTCCCGTGACCGTCACCAGCAAGGCCACCAGCCCCAGCACCGCCCCGATGACCATCAGAGTCCGGCCGGCTTGGATCTGCGGGCTGAGCGCCAGGATGGAGTCGAAGACTTTGCACTGCATCTGTCCGGTGCTCTGCACCACGCAGGCCATCCAGAGGCCTTCCCAGGTGGTCTGCGACACCACCAGGTGACCCTCGATGAAAGCCGAGACTTGCCACATGGGCAGGGCGGCCACTAGGATGGACCCCGCCCAGCCCAGGATGGACAGGGTCAAGCCCAGCAGTTGGACCCCGGTAGACGCCATCCAGGTCCAAGAAACGCCTTTAGCTGCTTGCGTGCGTCTGTGTCCGTGTGTGCCTTGCTCTCTCGGCTGGCTTTCTCGCAGTCGATCTCCCCTTTAAAGCAGCGCCCTGTGCGATCTTCCCTTTCTCCTGCTACCAGTCGGGGAAATCTCCGCTTGTCCGCTTCAAACTTTCTTGGCTGATGCGCAAAGGATGCCCGTCTCGACTTTATATAGGCGCGATGCGCTGCCCGGCTGGGCGAGCTCTTGCCCTCCCCGTCGAAGGGAAGGCGCGCGAGAGACGCCCCCTCCCCTTTCTCTCTCTTCACTAGCCAATAGAAAAAAGGAATGGCTTTCCCGCAGCCAATCGGGAAGCTCGGAGGCAGAAAAAAAGTAGAATTACAGTCTCCAAAAAAAAAGGTGGGGGGGTATCAAAGGATAAGGCGGGTGAGTCAGGATGAGGGCGCTGGCGGGGTGGTGGGGGGCAGGAGAAAGTGTCTTTGGGACGGGGGGTGGAGACCCGCGCGGGTCTGACACACCACTGGCCCTTCTTCCCCTTTGTAAGGCCGGAAGGCGATGGAGAGGGGAGCGCGGGTACTTCCCAGGTTTGCAACAAGCACCGTACTGGAACACAACAACTTCGTGCGCGACGTGGGTCAGGCAGGGCAATGGGGAGAGGGGACAGGATCCGCGTCTTGCAAAATACCGTCTGTTTCTGCCCCTGATGCCCCTTGTGAGAGAGAGACAGACTGGGGGAACGACGACAGAGGGACGGACAGAGGGAGATGGAGAAAGAGAGAGACTGAGAAAGAGAGAGAAAGGATACACACAGAGAAAGGGGGGAGAGAGAAAGAGAGACGGGGGGAGAAAGAGAGGGGAAGAAAGAAAGAGAGGGGGAGAAAGAGAGAGATGGAGAAAGAGAGACGAGAAAGAAAGAGAGGGAGGGATACACGCAGAGAGAGGGAGAAAGGGAGGGAGAAGACACAGAGAGGGGGAAGAAAGTCAGAGAGAAAGAGAGAGAGATGGAGTAAGAGATAGAGCAAAGGAGAAAGAAAGAGAGAGAGACAGAGAGAGAGGGAGGGAGAAAGAGAGAGACAGAGGGACACAGAGAGGGAGAGAGAGAAGGAGAAAGAGAGGGAGAGAGAAAGAGAGAGAAAGGAAACACAGAGAGAAGGGGGGGAGAGAGAAAGAGAGACGGGGGGGGAGAAAGAGAGGGGAAGAAAGAAAGAGAGGGGGGAGAAAGAGAGAGATGGAGAAAGAGAGAGACGAGAAAGAAAGAGAGGGAGGGATACACGCAGAGAGAGGGAGAAAGGGAGGGAGAAGACACAGAGAGGGGGAAGAAAGGCAGAGAGAAAGAGA